AGCTGCTATGCGAGTGGAGAAGGAACAAGACAGCAGGGCCAAGCAGTTTGGTAGTTCAAAGGGTCCTGTACATATTTCTCAACTGCTTCCTGGAAGGTATCTTTATACACTTCTGGATTATTCTATAATATATATGTTTTAATTATAGTTATCTGGCTTTCAATAATAAATCGAACTAAGCTAATTGGATGGACCAAACTTTTCTAAAGAACCACCAACGAGATGATATTATTGGTGTTCCTGAAGATTCATAAGAAAATTGGATTTGGTTTCTTGAATTTTGTTTTGTTTTTTGTTTTTTTTTTAAGTTGACCATCTCTAAAGAACCAGGGAGAAAACATTGGTGGACTCAGGACATCAGGCTTAGTTTTATGTTTATCTTCTAGGACATGCTTTTTAGACATGTATCATGTTCGGTGACTGGATAGGTGATAGGGGTAGCTTGATTTAGAGGCCACGGATCACTAGTATTCTCAGAGATCATCAAATGATGCCTCAACACATGTACTTGCTGTCTGCAGAATATGTTATTCAGTGTTATTGACTGATCGGTCTTCATTATTAATTGGGGACACCAAGGAAGCATTGAAGTCAATAGTAACTTTGGACTTTAGGAAAGAGGTCTTTTGTGGTTGACTACCAATCTTGCGGTTAATCATACTAGCAGATCTATGGTTGCTGGTGAAAAGTTTACTCTGTCATTCCTCTTTGCAACTGAATCCTCTCAGTTCACAGAAGTTCCTATAATTTGGTCTAGTTCTCTTTCCTTATAGTAGTCTTGGCTTTGGAAGCATGCTTAATATCTCATGTCAAATGAAATTAAGCTCTTGAGGTTGCTTCACTTATGCTATTCTCATTTATCTTCTTTGGATTTACTCATGGATACCTATCTTCTCTGAACAAGTCAAATAGGGCCAACTAAATGATAATAAACAGGCTCATTAATCTACTGGATCTATAACCTTTATCTAGCATTATTGCAAGTAGTTTTCCTGAATCCTTGGGATGATTCCAGGATGACACAATGGATACTGAACTATCTGAGTTTGGTAAATGCAATGCCTTTTTGCTGTGTGGAACGTTGATACATTAATTTGCAGATACTATGCCTAGCATGCATTTGTGGAAGAAAATTTAAATTGTCAACGTATTCTGCAGGAACCTGCCAAGAACAGGGATGACGCGGAACCTTCAATGACACTGAATTCAAACCGAAAGTGGCATGGAATATTTACATCAACTCCACTTTCCACTTTCTTTTATTTTTTTACTTTCCCTTTTCATTCTTCATTCAAGTTAAGATAGAAAGAAGCATTGGCGGTGATCCTCGATCGCAAGGAAGCAGATTAGAAGGCGCAGCTGACATTACTGTTGTAGCTGAGTGGAAGTGATGATGAATTTGACTAACCTTATGGGACACTTTTTAGGTGATAAATGCCTGGCCTTTTCAGCTGTATAGGTTGCACGTGTTCTTTTGATAACGTTTATGTGTGGTGATTTATTTGTCTTTATTTGTGAATATTATTGTAATGTCAGATCAATGCTAATGCTACTCGCCAAAATTGTGACGTCAGTTTCTTTCGATCGACACTCTTTGCTGACTGGAGTAGTCTTTGCTAACTTGATAGATATGTAACAAGGTTAGCATGGGAGTGAGAAGGGTGTATAAAGTTGATATGTAACAATATAATTTGTGATGACATTGCTATGAGTTTTCTATTTAGAGTCTTCTACTTATTATTCATAATTTTTTAAAAAATAAAAAGTTAATATTGTATTATTATTAGCCTTTTTTATTTTTTATTTAATATTTTTCTTTCTCACAACCCTCACTTGTGCATTTTGCTATTTTTGACAACCGATCACCACGGTTGTTAGTCTATTTACTTGTGCACTCTAGAGACTCTTTCCATAGCTTCTCATAAACCATGCTTTGTGCTTGACTATGGGTGTCATCATCGTTGTTAGCATCCCTAGTTTATCTCTCATCGCTCATTGTTAATCATCGTCCTTAGTCTATCATCTCTACTCTATCTCTCATCGCTCGTTGTTAATCATCGTAGTTAGTCTATCTACTTGTGCACCCTATAGACTCTCCCCATAGCTTATCGTTGACTGTGAGCGTCATCATCGTTGACTCTGAAAGCTATAGACAATAAATGTCATCATCGTTGACTCTGTTAGCTGTAGACAATAAATTTTAAGAAGAAAATAAGAAAATTATAAGAGGACAACGTCACTATCAGAAAAAACGAAAAAAAAGAAGAAAATAAATTATAAGTAACGAATGAAAATCTTTTATTAGAATTAAATTATAAATTAAGAGCATATTTATCCATATATAAAGAGATAATTTAGAAATATTAAAAAGTTTTAAAATTATAAATAAAAATAAAATTATAAATAGTAATATCCTGTTAAGAAAAAATAAAAAACAGAAACACCATATGAAAAAAAAAAAAAATCACCGAATAGAAAATGTATTTATTTGCAAATGGAAGAACGTGGCGTCGTCCATCGTGGTGGCACCACCACGTCACACAATTCGATCCCCCCTGCACACGTTGCACTACAAGCATAATTTTATAGACGAATCCAAAACCAAGCAAAACTAGATTTCGACAAAATCCATCGATCCAAATCTCCGCGTTTACTCCTCGCGAATTATGTGCACCAACCAAAAGATTTCATACAAACCCACCGACGTCAACTCCGAATCACGCCCTTTTTTGTATGGCTTCATCTCGTGTACAGCGACCACCGCTATTCGCGTCCGGTCCACTTATATCCTGACACGTGGTTGCGACATGTGGCCACCGCGTCTACGTTAGAAATCCTACGGCGCAGCTGCCAGCTCGGTGTACCGTGTCGCTCCCCGAACGCATAGAAGCTTCTCTGCCGCTGCAAGATCCACCGTCCAATTTGTTTATCATGCACATCGCATCCATCAGAGGGCCAATATCTATCGACGTATGTGACTAGTGGGTTGAGTCGGATCGAGTCAAGCAAACCATTGACAAATCACGACATATTATAATATATATATATATATATATATATATATTAAAAATAAAAAAATGGAATAACAAACCCTCCTTAACTGCTATTGCTTTATATTAATAAACATATATCTTTCGGATGAAAATATACAACCAAAGACATTAAATTCATCATCATGATTTCATGAAATTAGTTTTAACATATTTCACGCATTCCATCGTAATTTTGAGCTAATATCTCAAAGAAAATAATCATGATTGCGGGCACTTTATATCATCATTTATTCTTCTAAAGAAAACCTAAAATGTCTCATATTACTTTCTATTTTTGAGCATTAATTTGGATTTCACTATCTTAAATAACTGACGTTGAAAAATCACTGACTTGGATATTAGATATACAAATATGCAACTTTGTCAAAACAAAAGAAAAGAAGAGAGAGAGAGAGAGATATGTGGGAATATGCCATTTGGATGATATATTAAACGAGTCTAAATTTGTCCATCTAATACAAAAAACAAAAAAATATGTATTTGTCTTCCCTCAACTTTGATTTTACTTTATTTATACATATATTTATACCGAGAGAGAGATACGTTTGACCGTATAATAATTGGCAGTTCAAATTTGGCAAAGCAAATATAAGGGCCGAAGTTTCCCTATAGAAAGTGGTATGCGTCGATTCGTATACGGACACGACGTATCGGTTGTTGCTTCCCTCTGCTGCCGTCTCCCTGCGCCTTTATTCCGCTCTAAATCCCATCGCCTCGCCCCTCCGCCGTGTCCTCGCTCCTCCACCGGCGCTCCCGGTGACGCTCCTCCGCCGTCGCGTCGCCCGGCGGAGTTCATTCGGTGCTGTCCCAGCTGGTGAGTTGATCCGATCGGAGATTTGCTGGGGATTGGGTTCCAGACAAGAAGATGGAGTCCTGAGCTCGCTCGCCTCTGTTTTCCCCCACTTCTTCGTAGATCTCTTCTTGGTTAGGGTTTCGCATTCGACATTGTTCAAGATGCCTTTTTTTAACCATTTCTTTTTTCCATCTTTCTTGTTTTTTCTTGGTTGGTGCACGTTAGGCGTACTATACAGACTTGTTTGGTGGATTACGTTCTTGTTTTGAATCTCTACTCTGTTGCATCCTTGGAGGTTTCATGGGAAAGACGATGGTTCTTTGTCTGGGTAATCTGAGCAATCGCTAAATCGAACGTGCGGTACTTAGGATGTCAAGTGAGGCTCGGTCAAGGATTGTATCGGATCTTTGCTGCTAGATCAGGATTTAAGAATATAATTCATGAAATATTTTGTTATTTCTTTATGGGGCATTGAAGGGATCTGCTAAATCTTCCAATTCGATAGTAATTGTTGGATATGAGAACCATAATTCATCTTTGTGTCTTCAGAAATTGGCTTGTATCGGACTGCTGATAATGTGGTTCTACGCTTCTGTGTCTGTTGTTCTCTGAATTCTCCTTCGTTCCTTTGTTTACATATACATTAGACTTCCTGTTTAATCAATCTGGTTCTAAAACATTCTTGGATCTTGGTTTATATAGTAAATTAGTTAAGGATTTAGAGAATGTATATCTACATATCAGCACTTTATTTACAGCTCTAATTCTGTTTTCTTTGTCTTATCAGGTCTCATGGTTCCTGTGGTTGGGTTTTGCATCTTAGTGGTCTCATGCTTCCTGTTCTAAGTTAAAGTTGTTTTATTTTCTCATTTTGTGTGTATGTAGTGTGTGTCTGTGTCGTTTTCGGATCTTATTATCTTTTCATTATTATCTTTCTCTTCCTCTATTAAAAAGGAAAAAGATTTCAGAGCTAGTTGTCCTACATCAATAGGGGTCTGCTAGTCTAGAAAATAAGTAGTTGTCCAAGAGATTCGGTTTATAAATTATTGATAGGAGCAAATGAAGTGATGCTTTGTTGTGGCCTGCTCCCCCTGTCTTTGTTTCTCCTCTTTATCTGTGAGTTTCTTTTCTTATCCTTCTAACCTCTATTCTCCTTCCGTACCACTGTGATCTCTAAAAGATAGCTATATTTTTTTTCCCCGTTGTTACAATCATTTTCCTTTTTTCTCCAAAGACATCCAGTGTTTGCAATGTTTTTCTAGCAGCAGCACCTTTGTGCAGGATTTGACAGATTTATCTGTATCTGATTAAATATTAGCTATGTTGCCTATCATCTAGCCTAGCATGTGAAATTTTTCTCTTAGTTATTTGTTGTTCAAAGTTACTTGATTTTAACATTTATTGCGTCAGAAGGTAGAGTTTCAGTTTTAGGTATTTGCAAATTGCTAATCACAATATTATCATAGCATAGAGAAATGATGAACATAATCTCATATAATGTTAATAACCCAGAAACAAACAAAGTATACCAGAATGACCAATTAATAAATTTTTGAACCATTTTTATGTAAAAAGGTTGTGACATGGAAAATTTCACTGTCATGACCAGAAACAGTTTATAAATGCATGAATAGGAGGCTTTATTTATAAAAGGAGACACTAAATGAGAAATGGGAGAAACAAAGACATTATGCAGTAGGAGAACTGTTAACATATGCTATTTGCAAATTCAAAAAGTGTGTCATAGAAAGAGGAGGAACTAGGTGCCCATGGTGAAAAGCTTAAAGCCTAGCCTGCTTCATTATCAGCATTTAATACGAAAATCAATGGAAAGAATATCATATTACATGATGCTTAACTTGTCATTCTGAAGCAAGCTCTGGTATGCTGTATTATCAACCTTTAATATGAGAAAACAATGAGAAAAATCACCATATAATGTAGTAGAAGAAACCGGAGCTTTGTTATAATTTGATCTCTCTTTTCCGATTGTTAATCTTCAATGCGTATTGACTTGTCATCTTGAAGCAAACCATGATCTAGTTTATGATCAACATTTGACATGAAAAACTATGAAGGTTATTGATGATTTGATGAAATAATGTAAGTGCTTTTTTGTTGACACCATTATATATATATATATATATATATATATATATATATATATATATATCATTTTTGTCATATATATTTAGCATGTGTTACTTCAGTCTTGCCTCATAACATGCACTATACCTTAATCATAAGTTTCATGTTATGGCACCTTTGAATGGTCTGCTACTCTTATGCTTCATATCTTGTTGAAACTTCTAAAGTTTGGCACTTGACATATTTGGAAGTGTCTATTCACTATTAGTTACATCCTTTTGAATCATATACATTTGTTTTAGAGTTGTCTATGTCATACAGGTTCACGAGAAAGCTTCTTTGATATTTTCACTGCTGAAACATAAAAGAATTTAAATCTTTTTAATTTTCCTTCTTTTCCTGCAGAATTGCAGATCCAGTTGTTTTGTTGTTTATCAGCACATGTTATCTAAACAAGTTCAGTCAGGCTCTATTTAAGCTATGTCGTCTAATTTGTTGAATCAATTGCATGTTTTTGCAGAGCATGTTGACATTTTTGTTGTGTAATACTTTTGAGATGCCACATAATCTGTAATAAGAACAATAGTAGGCTATATTATATTTTTGAAGGGATGAAAGGGGGAATCTTACAGAAAGTCAGAGGCTCTAAACTTTCTTTGGTACTTACTGCCCTCATGTGCACAACCCTTGTTATTTGGGCATGGGAGAAAACACCAGCTCTATCTGTTATATTTCCACCACTAGAACGATTTGATATTCTTTCTCCAGGTATGTCTCTCTTAAGGTCATGTTTTCCTGTCTATGAATTCTTTTAGTTGTATGTGCATTTGTGGAATCATATTTCACCATAAAAGTCGGTGCTCTTTTTGGCAACAGTAGTTCCTGCCAAAACTTCTGCGACTTCCTCAGATGATACACATCGGCTGGCATCTGCAGATAAGAATTTGTCAGCTGCAGATGAAATGGAGAGTTCATCATCTAATGAAACAGAGCCTGTTCTCAGTCTTCCAGCAAGCGAGTCTTCAGCCACAAGCACACCTAATAATTCAACATCTGATAAAGATCTGAAAGAGAGTCCCATGCAGGAGAAAGGTGGTTTTGTTGCTTCTTTGTCATCTTTCACAATAATGACTCAACTTTTGTCTTTACACAGTGCTAATGTCATATGTTGGCTATCAGATGTACATGAATGCTTTTTATGATTTTCTGACTTTTTATTATTTCTGACTTATAGCTCAGGGATAGATGTCAATCTTTTTATAACCATCATAAGTTTGATGTCTTGATGTTTTTATCGACAATGCATCTCACAACCTGCTTTAGGCTACTGTTTCTTTTTGGTGGTGAGCTATCCATGTAATGAAGTCTCGAGAGAGTTTTTGCTGTTGTAATTATTTAAATACAAAATTTAATTTCAGATATTTAAGATAGTTAAATATAGTTAGTGATTACCATGTTATAACAGTGATTTTTTACTAATCTAGATCATATCTTTCCTTTACCTAATGTTTCTTTTGGGGTCAGCAAAGATATTCTTTAAGCACACAGACTTTGATTATACCTGAAATATTTGAATGTTTTCTCTTGTAGAGTGTAATTATGCAAAAGGAAAATGGGTTGCGGACACAAGACGACCTTTATATTCGGGTTCTGCTTGCAAGCAGTGGCTGTCAGGGATGTGGGCATGTAGGTTAATGCAACGTACTGATTTTTCGTATGAGAATTTTCGGTGGCAACCACAAGGTTGTGTGATGCCAGAATTCTCAAGGAGCGACTTTTTGAGAAGGCATGTCAGACTGGTCAATTTTTTGAATATATTTCTTCTATTAGTTGGTTTATAAGGCAGGAATTAGTGGTGGCAGTTATTTTATGTTCTTATAATTAGGATTTTATGTTGTTGAGTTCTGATGCTTCTATTTGGTTTCAGAATGCAGAATAAGACAATTGCTCTGATAGGAGATTCTTTGGGAAGGCAGCAATTCCAATCTCTCATGTGCATGGTCACTGGTGGTGAAACAAGCCCAGAAGTGGAAGATGTTGGAAAAGACTATGGCCTCGTGAAAGCTCCTGGTGCCTTAAGACCTGATGGTTGGGCTTATCGGTTTCCAAGTACCAACACAACCATTCTGTATTATTGGTCTGCAAGTTTATGTGAACTGGAGCCTTTGAATAAATCAGACCCAGCTACCCATTATGCGTTGCATCTTGACCGACCTGTAACATTCTTAAAGCAGCATCTTTGCAGGTTTGATGTGTTGGTACTTAACACGGGGCACCACTGGAATAGAGAGAAGTTCAGAGGAAACCGGTGGGAGATGTATGCTGGAGGGATGCCAATCACTGATGGAGAGCTTGCAGACATGAGGAACTTAAAAAATCTCACTTTGCACAGTATTGCTAAGTGGGTTGATTCGCAGCTTTTGCAACATCCACAGCTAAAAGCTTTTGTTAGGACAATGTCCCCTAGGCATTTTGTCAATGGAGACTGGAACACCGGGGGAAGCTGTGACAACACTGTTCCATTGGCTGGTGGAAGCGAGGTTTTACAAGATCGTTCTAGCGATCCTGTTGCTGAGGATGCAATCAAAGGAACAAGTGTTACGCTATTGGATATTACATCTTTGTCACAACTGAGAGACGAGGGACACATATCCAAATACACTCTTAAGGCCTCAACAGGCATGCAGGATTGCTTGCATTGGTGCCTTCCAGGTATTCCTGATACATGGAACGAAATACTTTATGCACAAATATAGACGCATCGAAAGGCAAACATAGTAAATAAGGTTTCTTTTAGAAGCTTTCGATAGGAGAATCAGGTTTATTATACAACTTCAGGGCAAAAGGAGCATTGTGAAGCAGCACAGTTGAATGATTCCAGAACACCTTTTCTCCATACGAGTCATTATTGCAAGCTCAATGGTTCTTGTTGGAAGTCATCCCCTTTCTCTCAATGGACCTTTGAGCAACTTTCCTGGATCTCCAAAGAATCAATATCAGCAGGAATATCCAAAGTACATGTCACTATATTAGGTTGTTTTTTGCCGAAGACATAGTTGAGAACTAAAACATCAGCCTTTTGTTGGCTGAGAGCACTCCATATCTGTTTGCAGAAATTATGGTTTTCAGAACACAGATTATGAATCACCTGACAATTCTATGAAGAGTTTCTTGCCTTGATCATGTAACTCTTAACTGCTTGGTGAGATTTTAGAGCCTAATTCTTGTAATTTTTTTTCCAAAATATTGAGTAAATAACACCTTTTCTTTTCTTTGGTTGTTCATATCTATTATGCAGGTTCTGAAGCATTCAACATATATAGTAATTTCAAATTTTGCTATTCTCTGTTATGGGGATTCGTTATCATTCATTATTTTAGGTTGACTTGTTTTATTTTCAAGACATGATTAGCTAATGGTTTATACTTTTAGTTCAATAACATCTGTACATGCAATTGTTTGATAATGAAATAGATGAGACCAGTTATTATGAAGGATTTTTCATTTACAGTTATGTGCTGCTGCAGTTCACATTTTGTTGGGTTTTAGTTTGCATTTGATGCTTGCCAAGAGAAAAAAAATGAAACATGCTGATAGTTCAGTGGAAAATATATCCAAAATGTGCTATTCTGTGATTTCTATCTCTGCTGGTACACAGCATCAACAAAACCTTGTGTGTGTGTGTGTCTCTCTCTCTCTCTCTCTGGTGCCTTCCTCAAGTATATTCAAACTTTACAAACATCTTTTTGATGCTGAAACTTTCATATTTCACCTGTTGCTATCAATCTGCATCACTTTCATATTTCAACTGTTAGCAAGGTGTGGATCTTTTAGGCATCAGAAGCAAAGCAAATGTAAAGTGTGCACTGCTTGGTGATAACAAATTGATCCTCCAAAGCTAAACAAAACGAAGAAAGAACGATGACTTCTTTTCCATCTACTGTACAACTTGCTTCTTGAGACTCTAATGAGAGAGAAGATACTATGAAGCTGCGAGCCTCAAACATCATAAAAGTGAAGTGAGGAGAGAGAACTTAACCTGCAGCCCAATCCTCCCCTTCTCCACGTCCAGCTTCGCACCAGTCACCAGCCAATGCCCAGGGCTGTGCTGAGGCCCCTGACACAGGTGAGAGGTATCCACAAACTTGAGAAGCTTCTGGGCTCCCACCGGCACCGGCGGGCCCACCGGAAAAATACCGGAGTCCACCGGCGCCTCTGGGCCTTGCTGCCTTTCCTTCTCCAGGCCACCGGAGAACGAGGTGCTGACGGCCGAGAAGAAGCTCGACTTCTGAGACAGGCCCGACGGGCCTCGCCGCCACTGCGACCTGCTCACGACGCAGCCGCTCACCTCCGAGTACAGGAGCCTGAGGTGCAGCACACTCGTGGACTCGTGCGCCGTCACGTGGAGCTGAGCTCCGGTGACCACGAACGCGTTCCCCCCGCCGTCGGTCGGCCGCCACGGGGAGTCGTACTCGATCGGCACGGTGCACACCTGCGCGAACTTCTTCCGTCGGACCGGCTCATAGTATCGCTGGTCGGCGATCGCGTCCGATCCCCGCCATTCCGGCGCCGCCTCGGGCCGGGCTCCGATGAACCCAGGGGTATGTGACAGGTGCTCCAGGTGAATCGCTAGCCTGAACACGTCCAAGTTAAGCTCAGTGATCCCTGCTTGCAGCATCAAGTTAAGGTATGTCAGGAGTTCCGACTAACCGATCGTTCTTCTTGCCCTCGAGGTGCAGTCGCATTCCCGTCACCGGTCGCATTCCGACGATGACCTGAGTTCGCACGTGATCGAATCTTTATATGGTTGTAGTGGTTCAGCAACACAGTGGAGAAGAGAGCAGCAGCAAACAAGCATGCATCCAAAGAGAGATGTGAAATGGCACACCTGAGAAGAGTTGACCGACAGCTCGGGGCCCATTACGGTGAAAGTAAGGGCCGGGGTCGGGATGGACCTGTTCGAGATGGGACCCAGAGGTAGATCACTGTGCATTGGGGCCCAGAGCTTGTGAGCTTGGAAGTCCAGGAAGTAGCGCAGGTCTGATAGAGGAGGCTTATCTGCGGTGCATAAACAAGCCAATGATCTTAGGTCTCTTTATCTGATCCAAATTCTGATAGCCGTACTTTGAGGAATCAGGTAGCGGAAACCATGATCTGCACGGGGAGGGTAATCGCACTTACATCGAAGGTACAGGTTAATGGCATGAGACAGAAAGCCATTGCCGGGGACTCCCTTGAGCAGTGAGGTTATCGGAACGAAGGTGAAGTTGATCACATCAGGCGATGAAGGCACAGTTAGAAGCCACTCGCTGTGGCTGCTCGCCGAGGTATCTCCGCCTCTCTTGTGGCACATGACTGTCATACCCTGAGGAGCAGATCACGGTGAGCTTCTTATAATGCAGAAAGAAAAGCTGTGTTGCAGGTAGGTTGTCTTAGAACTTACATCTTTGCAGAAGACAGGAGCAATCCCCTTGACATTTTGCTTCTGTAGATCAAAGACATTGAAGGCCTCTGGAACCTGTTAAATAGCACAAGAATCATGAGAGTAGTGCAGTCAATGGGTCCGAGTGGCCCTGAGAAGCAGACCTTAAGCTTATGTTCTTTAGATCTCCAGTGGAAGGGAGGCAGCGCACATGTCCCTGTGAATAGCTCATCCCCAAGCCTATCGAGGTGTTGTCTGAGCTCACGAGGGGAGAGGCTGGAGGAGTGGTCTTGCTTCACGTACACCACATCCTGACCTCCCACACTTAACCCCATTATTACATGCGTGCCATAGGTCTCGATGAACCTGCATTGCAAGCACAGAAATCCAACACCATCTCAATCAGTAAACTTCTCTTTAACTCCTCTTCTATCAGCAATCTTTCTTTGTGTTTCTTGGACTCCTCCTTTGAGAACAAGATTGATTGATTGAATATTTCTCGTTTTGTTTCTGCCGTTTGGCCTCATCAGAGGCTGATGTTTAGCATCATGCATGCTTGTCATCGTGCAGTCTCAAGTCACCAACTTGATCTTTCTGCCACTCATCGTCGATGGCATGCATCTAAACGTACCTTGCGATCGCGCAGGGGTCCCAAGTCGAGGGAACATCTCTGACGACATGATCCACAAGAGCAAGTGGCTGGTGCTCGATTCGCAGCTCAAGGAGCGTGATGAAGTAGCCATCCATGGCGAGGCACTTGGTGTTGGACGCCTCCTGGGCCCATGCGGACCCGTCCATGTCGAACATGTAGTTGAACAGCCCGGAGGGGATCTTTCCTGCCATCGAGCTCCGACAGTTGAACAGCTCTGACATCTGCATGGAGCTCCAACAAGTAAGCCCTTTTAGGAAGATATATTTGTTAAGATCGCCATTCTTCGCACTCCATCTCTGTTTCTTCGCTCACGCTTTGAGTGCCCCTCATTAGCAGCATGAATTAGATAGAAGAATGCAGTCATCGACAGCTTCCATCTACTGGTGTTGGTCAAAGCCTAACCCTCTAAAAATGAAGAAAGCGATCCCTTTTTTGTCCCCAGAAATCAATTCGAAGATGGCTTTGTTAGCTCGACCTACTCGGTGGTCTAATTATTTCTTGGTTGGTGATGCTGTTCACAACCAATTTTTCGTCTTCTATTTTTTTTGTGGTTCAAAGATCATAACTACTGTCGTCTAATTCTCTAAATTTACAACAGGCCGAAGAACATTGTGTGTGATGTTTTTGTTTTCCGAAGAAATCTACTTCTTGATGCAGAATCTTTCATTGACATTTTCCTCTGGATACATACTTCAGATGGTTTCCTTGGAACTGAGCAAAGATTGGTCTTTTACGATTGCTTGTATTAAACAGCTCTTTCCTTCATCTCTATTCGATCTCTCTAAATGGCTTGAGAGCTTTTCTTAGCATCCCAAAACCTCTGATCAGCCAAATTTTAAAGATGCATTTTCTCGAGTATTTGATACGGTCGATGCTATTTAGCTACGATATCATCCCTCTGCTTCTCAATAAGGAGGAGAGAAGCTTCTTTTACGTGCATGAAATATGATCTGTAAAATGAAAGGTAAATAATAGATTCTGAAAACAGAGGTGCTGAGAGCAGAGACTTGAGATTCTCTGCCAGAGAACAAATGATGGGATCGCGTGAGAAGAGATTTAGGAGAACAAAAGAAACAAAGATCACAACTGCATGCAAAAGCTCACAAAAACATACGCTTTCACAAAGAAAAAGCTTCATGAAGAAGAAGAAGAAGAAGAACCAAAGCACAAAAACAAGCTACCTGATTGAACTCGAGCACATCGGATTGGTATCGCATCCGATCCCCCTTATCGCACTTTATGTCAACAGAGACATCCTTGAAAGTTCCAAACCCGGGCACAGCGATCTCTCTCTTCTCGTCCTCATTTATCACAAGCAGCCTCTCCTTTCCCCTGCAGTACTCCGGCCGGAAGTCGCATGCGACGTCGAAGCCCCTCCCCAGGCACCTCAGAGCTGTCTCCACAGCCCCGCTCATCTTCTCTCTTCTCTCCCCAGCTAATTCCACACCACCAGACCGCTTCTTATCGTCCTCTACAATAGTCTCTTCATGGTGTGTGCTTGCTCATATCCTACAGATAGATATATATATATATATAGATCAGGATCAGTAGAATAACAAGTCGAAGGTAGTAGAAAAGAAGAATTACACAATGGAAACGGTGGGGTTTCCATTGTGTAGGATACTGACCGCTCATTTCCATTAACTGAATTCTCTTTCCCTCTCTCTTCAGCACCAACATGTAAGAGTCGCAGGTGCATGATTCGTTCAACCCTGATGCTGTTCTTTTAACGAAGTCAATTGTGATCCCTGCGCCTGGCGTATCGATGGTGGCAAGAGGGTTTGAAAGGCCGCAGGATGATTGGCTAACGCGTTAAGATCCGATGTGAATCCACCGATCATTCTTCAACACGGAAATAACATGATAATTGATGCGTAATTCCTCAGGTGTGGACAGTATTTTAGGATTATATTTGATTGGTGCATCTAAACACAAAAGTTTAAGATGTCAACGCTGAATCGAGTGAAGTGGTCAAAGGCCAGAGCAGTGATGGGTGGTGGGAAATGTCGAGGTGGGGTCGTATGAGGCTGCAGATGGGGACATTTACTTTGGCGCTGTTTCACACAATGTATCATCCATTCCATTGTACGGAGATTTCTCCATTTCACACGAGGAGAAGGTTGAAGAGGATGGAAAGTACTGTGTGGAGAGGTACCGGACGGATTGCTTACTGCTTGCGGGGCCATACGTTTCGAGTGATTC